CCTGACTTTTGTGCATCTTCTTTGGAGTACTTCCAGGGATGGGAGACCAATATGCTGTGCCCTCTGGGTGAGAAAAATAGGGGCTGGAATTCAAACCTGTAGACCATTTCCAAGTGTTTTCTCTGCTATCAGGATACTGCAAATGCCATTTCCTAGCTACATTTAGAAGCTAAGTCCAGGCCTTGTGCTTAGCTGAACTGCTGTTTGAGGAAAGATGGCTGAGAAGTTTTCTCTCAAATAATAATAATAATAAAAATCAGTGTGTTTTGCTAATTATGACATAGCAAGAGGCTAAGCATCTTCCCCAGCCCACAAATCTACTGCACCCTCAACGATGTCCCACAAGAGAAAAACTTCCCTAGTGGCACCATGTTCAGGGAAGTTCTTGGGAGGCACCTTTTACAGGAGAAAACTGAAATCTGCTGTCAGGGCTGAAAGGCTTTTGACTGTCCCCAGCATGACTGCAGGCTTCGGGTGGGGAGTTTGCCACCCACAGCCGTGACAAGGACGAGGTGGGTGAGCCCTCTTCGTGTTGCACTATGTGCTGATAAGGGCTGCTTGCAGCCTGCTCATCCCTTTCCTCCTTGTAACCCTGGCCTGAAAATAAAGCTGACCCAAGGTGCAGTCCCTTTTAAGTGCTTGCCTGGCTTCACCCATCACTTTTCCTTTGCTCCCACTTGGATCCCCATACAATGGTTGTTCTGGATATGGTAGTCTATGTGTTGGCCCTGGGTCTGGTGGCCAGGACGAGTCACTGGTGTCGCAGAGGGTGGACTCCCTTAGACCAACCTTCCCCAAGCAATATGGTAAAACTAAAAACAAAAGCTTTGTGTTTCCAACAGTGCAGGAGCCAAGATTTTTTGGTTTCCCTTCCTGCCTGGAGCAGCATTGTTCTCTTTGGAGGAGTTACATGCAATTGCCTGTTGCAAAATGGTGTTAATATTTTATCTTCCCACTTCTATTGTTACCAGGGCCCAGAGTGGGGTGGAAACTCCTTTTGAGGGTGTTTATTGGTGAATGGAAACAGGAAAAAGCCCAGCTCCATTCATTTTTAGGACTTGTTTACACAGGAACCACGACAAGAATATATCCCAGTATAGACATTCCATTCCAGAATAAAGGCAATTTTATTCCAGAAAAGTGTCCACACAGGGACAAAACAGGGAGGTATCCCAGAAGTTGGGCATATGTAGTTTCCAGTCCTTTTTGTCTGGGGCCAGATATTTGCAGAATGTAGTTGACATGATGAAGGTTTGGGTCTTGAATTTCCCAGAAATTTTAGAACTGCTTTGCTGTCAAGTTTCCAAGCCTTCCTTCACGGCTGCTCTGAGCTCTCCTCGCAGGATTTTGACGTGGCTGCTGCCCATATGTACCCACTGCTGCTCAGCAGAGGCTTTCGCCACGTCTCTTCAGTGTGCATGGGCAGCCCATGTCCTCACTGTGTCCACGCAGCACAGGGAAGCACTGGCGGCTGCATTCCTGTCTGGCAGGTAAATAAATGCCTTTAAACTAAATTCCATCTCCTGTAAGGAACTGGCCTGGCAGACGCTGGCTATTGTGTACACACACAGGACTGAGTCAATATTTATCCCCTGGGTAAATAACAGACCTAGTGTGAGCTGCAACAAGAGTTGGGTTGTTTTTTTTTCTTTTCTAAATATCAAAGCTGCACAATACAAACCCTGCTGTTTGCTGGTTCCAGTCTCAACTGTTTAATGCTTTGAGTCTGGGAGAATGAGACATTTAGTCACCCTGATGATGTCTGTGTGACTAGCTTCCCACAGAAGATGGGACTTATGTTTTGGATTCTTCAGTCTCCTGTCCCCTGTCCCTTTCTGGCATTACTTTCCTTTTCTCATCCATTGTATGCTTCTGGATAGACATTTGAAGTCAGTTTATATTGCTCGGTGCTCTCATAGATCCTTGGGCAGTCATAGAATCATGGAATGGTTTGGGTTGGAAGGGACCTCAAAGTTCATCTAGTTCCAACCCCCCTGCCATGGGCAGGGGCACCCTCCACTACACCAGGTTGCCCAAAGCCTCAGTCAGAGAGCATCGCCACTGGGGACAAGGAGATGAGGGTAGGGAGTCTCAGCCAAGTGTTAAACCTGACTTTCTTCACTTTCCTCAGCCTCTGGGACAGGTAACGTCCTAATTCAAGGCACAGACATCTCCCCGTTGCTGCCAGCTAAATAATTCATCCTGGTGGTGGCAGCCCATCAATCTTGGCCTTGTTCTGTGGGGTCTCTGTGTGCCAGTGCACTCACCTGTTTCAGGCAGAGGAGTCTTGCTCCTGTTTTTACAACTAGAAGAAAAGCTGGACAGACCTGTACCCTCCGAAGGCAAAGGCAGAGCAGCCTCAGTGTCCTTAAACAGAGACAGTTAGAACAGGACGGGGTGTGTGAGGCAATGTGCCGGGGTTTCTGGATCTGGGAGTCTGACATCACCTTGAGTGCTTCTTCACAGCTTTGGCACTTCCAGGGAAATCACTAGTCCATCTGCTCTTGGCAGCCTCCACCTCCCCCCAGTCTTGCCTCACCAAACTAGCTCCTTTCCACAGTTTAAAAAAAAAAAAAAATAAAAAATAAGGAATTGAATAAAGGAGCCTGTAATTACACAGTGGTTGCCTCTTCTCCCCTGCCACAGGAGTAAAGGAGCAGGTCTCTGCCCTCTTCCCCACCCCAGCTGAAGGTCCCTCTGTCCATACCTTTCCCTGTCTGAGATGTGTTGTTCATGTTCCTTGTAATCATCATCAATTCCCATCTAGGAAAAAAACATTTCCTAGACTATATTTCCTAGAAAATATAGACTATTTTCCATTCTTCAAAATCCTACTTGGAATACAGAAACTCTTTAGGAGCAGGTCCATGAGAGCCCCTGGACACAGCGTAGCCTTGTCACACTCGGTGTTGTTCATGGGCTTTGGCCCAGTTCTGACTCTGAAGCTGACAGTCACACTCCCATCCCTGAGAACACAAGGACATCTCAGCACTGAAAACTCAGGCTCCGACTTCACGAAGACCAGCCAATCATAGTTTAGAGAGAAGGGTTTTATTTTTTTCTTTTTTTTTTTTTCACCAAGGTAGAGACCAACTCGGTGGTGGAAAGCCAGCAAGGACAGCAGACCTGCTGGGCTTTAGGCTTTGAATTGTTTCTGGCTTAGGGACGTTTGCCTCCCTCTTTGAGGGATGCTTCTCCTTCCCTTTTTCTGATCATTCCCCCATTGCAAAAGGAGAAGAGTGTCAGTGGGTTTGTAAGATGCAGAGATTCCTACTCACATCAAGTTATGTTGCTGAATAGCTGCAGCAGTGGTAGTTATCAGTGATTTTCGCTTGCGATACTTTCAATGAAATTAATATTTATATATTTGTAACTGTACATTATGCAGAGTAATCATTACCATGGTATTTATTTTAAAGCAATAGTTCCCTTGTTCTTTCTTGTCCAAGTGTTTTCTTTCCCTCCTTCTTCATCAGCCTCAGCAGAAAACAAATACCAGAAGAATGTTCAGCTTCCTTGAAGAACATCATGGAAACAGCAGCACTTGCTTTGCTGACGTCGACTATTGACATTTAATGCACAATAACCTGGTTTTCATTATTGTGAACAGATCATCTATCTAGAGAACCGCAGCTCGCTTTGGGTTTTGGTTTGTTTGGGTTTTTTAGTACCTCCTGTTTCTGATGGAGCAGCACTGGCTCTGGCTACACCAGGTCTCCTGCGCTCAGTAGTGGGCACGTCCTCGGCACGCGCGGTGCTGCACCCGGAGCAAACAGGCTCTAGTTTGTCGGCTGCGTTTTGCCCCGCTCACACGTGTACACGCAAACACTTCTATGACCGTTTTTGTTTTGTTTTGCAAATCTTAGCAAGTCTGAGTCCACAAAAGGGTTTGGTTTAGATTCTGATAAATATTTTATTAAAAACTGATTTTAAGACAATCTTGTCTGCCTCTTCTTGTTCGCATCGTAGGCTGTAAGCTTGTCTGATCGTAGGTTATGGTGAGGACAGAAGTCATGTCTGTACCAGTAAAACTAAAGAATTCAGGAACTCTGGGGAGGTTTATCTCTCATTTTCTACCTTCCTGCTTACTGGGACGTGCCCTGGTTGTGTCTGAGAGATGAGCTGGCTGCATTTTGTCAAAATGGCAACAGGTTCCAATATGCAACAAACTTGGTCACCAGTTTCGTAAGAGACAGCTCTTGATTGTGTGTGACATTACACAAAAAAAAGCACGGAGTTCTAGAGCGAGGGTTTTCTCAATTCCTTCTTTAATATTTCCCTTCAAAAGAAGTAATATTTGTTTTAAAAAAATCCATTAATGCAACTTTGCCCCAAAGAAATCGTGGATGCAAAGGGTCGTTTGCCAATATAGGGATTAGTGAGTGGGATTTTTACACTTGTTACCAACAATGGGCTCACATTACTATGGTGTTGCTTACTACTCAAGCCAAGAAAGTATTTGCTAGAAAAGCCAGTGCTCTACATTCTCTTGACAGAATATTTTAGTTCTCGAGAGTACCTTTCACCCAGGTACCTCCTAGTAATTTTGAAATGTTTATAAGTTTGTTTTTGTGAGCACCTGTTCTTTTTCAGTTTTAGGTGAAGGGAACATGTGTTCAAGGACAGCAAGCAAGTCAGTAGCAGAGAAAGAAATAAAACATAAATAACAATCAGTCTGCAGGATGCAGTAGGAAAACCAGACCCAGGTACGGTGGCAAGAGTATCCCAGCAATATGTGACCAGAGGAGAAGTCGCACGCAGTGTCCCAGTAACAAATCTGTACATGTCCAGCACTCCACGTCTCGTCTGGACTCCGCGCTTCTCAAGGAATCCTGTGGTCCAGGTTTATTCAGTTTTAGCTAAGCAGACAGGAGAAAGGACTTGTCTCCTGGGAAATACTGCTTGTTGCTCTGGAGGAAACGTGGGATCCCAGTGCTGTCTTCATCTTATCCCCGCTGTATGTCACGAGTGCTTTGGGAGTAGGGAGCTGGGATGGAGGCTTACACCAGCGACTCTTTGGAACTTTTTTGAGGGAGTGTTTCCTTGGAGGTTTTTAGGGACGTGGTGTTTTGTTTTCTGTGACCGAAGAATCTCTTTCTCACCTTATCTCGAAAGTCTTCGGAAACGTAGTAGTAGACGAAGGGATCAGCGCAGCTGTTGCAGGTGCTGATGGCCAGGCTCACCATGTAGCTGATGTACAGGTTGCCGTACAGCTTGGAGTTATAGCTGGAGTAATGAACAAGGAGGAGAACATTGCTGGGTGTGTAGAAGGCCACAAGCATGAACAGCACGAGAGCTGTGAGCTTCATAGAGTAGGAGTACTTCTTCCCACTGTCCAGGAGGGCTCGCAGCACTGAGCAGTAGCTGAACAGCATCACTGCCAGAGGCGCGAGGAAGGCGCAGGCGATCAGGCAGATGAAGTAGTAGAAGTAATACCCGTCATCCTCGTGCCTGGGGAGAACATCGTGGCAGAGAGTGATGTCTGCTCCGTACAGGGGATACGACTGCTGCTGCAGGGTCAGGGGCAGGGTGAGGACGGCAGCGCAGAGCCAGACGGCAGCGCAGGTGCGGGCGGCGAAGGCGGGAGTGCGGAAAGAACGCGAGAAGAAAGGATGCACCACAGCCAGGTACCGGTCGACACTGATGCACGTGAGCAGCAGCACTGAGCAGTACATGTTCCCGTAGAAGAAAGCTGTGGTGAGCCGGCACAGGCCTTCCCCAAAGGGCCAGTTGTTCCCCAGGAAATAGTAGAAAATCTTGAAGGGCAGCACCAATGTGAGCAGCAGATCTGCTGCAGCCAAGTTCATCAGAAAGACAGTGGAGGTCAGCTTCTCAGCCCTGGTGGCTGCCCGGGACCCCCAGGGCCAGCCCGTTCGAAGGCAGCCCCACCAGAAAGACGAGGGTGTAGAGGCAGGGGATGAGCCGCACGGTGACGGCGCTGCCCAGCTGAGCGCGCGTGGCCTCGTGTATCAGCAGGTACGTGACGTTGTTGATGGTCGCCTTTTCCCCGGGGATGGCTCGGGGACACGGTGTGATCTCTGGCGTCGTTACCTGCTCCTCGGTGCTGTTCTGAGAGTAATCTGTCAGATAAACACAGTCTGTTACTCGCTGCCTGTGCAGTTACCCGTGTACTTTGCGGAGCAGGCTGCCTACCAAAGGCTATGGGTCTGCACTTTATGACGAGTTCCCTGGAATTGGGAGTGTTCTGTAAAATGTTGTTGTGTGACGAGCAGAAAAAAACGGCTGACAGAATTAGGTGTGCTGGATTAACCGTCAGCAACTTCACTGAAAATTTACTTCATTCCTCTGTCATGTGGTTTCTCACAGCTTAGCAGTGGTTGCTATGTTGTACAGCTATCAGCAGGCCTGGGAAACTGGAGAGCAATTCCTCTGCCCAGCTTTCATAGGATCACAGAATGGTTTGGGTTGGAAGGGACCTCAAAGACCATCTAGTTCCAAACCCCCTGCCATGGGCAGGGACACCCTCCACCACACCAGGTTGCTCAAAGCCTCATCCAACCTGGCCTTGAACACTGCCAGGGATGGGGCAGCCACAGCTTCTCTGGGCAACCTGCTCCAGTGCCTCACCACCCTCAGAAGGAAGAATTTCTTCCTTAGATCCCATCGAAATCTCCCCTCTTTCAGTTTAAAGCCATTGCCCCTTGTCCTGTCACTCCATGCCCTTGTCCAAAGCCCCTCTCCAGCTTTCCTGTAGCCCCTTTAGGTACTGGAAGGCTGCTATAAGATCACCCCGAAGCCTTCTCTTCTCCAGGCTGAACAGCCCCAACTCTCTCAGCCTGTCTCCATAAGAGAGCTGCTCTTCCAAAAGAATCCTGAGATATGGGGCCATTCCAGAGTAAAATCATGGCTGTGGGAGTCTAACTTAGCTAAAGATGTTGGCTTCAAGTGCCCTCTGCTTTACTTCTTTAATTTTTCTTTCCAGTTTCTTCCACCCCAGTTTCTTTCTCTTCTGTACCACCTTCTATCACCTCCTGCTTCAACTAGAGTGTGCATGAAGCTCAATTAGAGTGTGCTCCCATATGACAGCTTTCAAAAACGAGTTTTTGGGGATCTTATAAAGGTACCAAGTAGCCAGTAGTTTAAGAAGAAGTCATTTTTTACCCGAAGATACGCACTCACCATCGTAGTCTGGAGAGGCCAGGCAGAGTCCCCAGAAGGCACAGCACAGCACGAGCCTGTGCGACAGCCATCCCTTCCCGAGGGTCTCCATCCTGGGGCAGGATCCACCGGTGCTCTGCTGTGCTCAGAGCTGTGCGGGAAAGGCAGCACTGGTGACCCTGTTACGCGTTTCCTTCTGTTAGTCCTTAACTCACGGAAGCACCAGGCTTATCCCGTGAAGGATGGAGCGTGTGGGGGGCTGTCACGACGTGCACGAGTACGTGTTGCCCAAGCAGTGACTTGGCTCCAGCGTCAGACGCGGGACTAGGAGGGGCATACGTGTCCAGAGCCACAGTGTACTGGCCCGTGCTCCATCGTCAGAGCTACACGATGGCTCAAGTGACTCATTTGGGCTTCCTTCCTGCTCCAAAACATGCCTGGAAATAACAAATGTGGTCAGATTTAATGTAGTTTGAATTTGGTTTGGAGTGTAAACTGAACTTCTGACCTCCTATATCGAGCATCCTTCCACCCAAGAGAGACTCAAGTGCCTGTGTGTGAGTCGAGGTCTTTCCCGCAGCCCGATTCAAAATGCACCCTGGCACTGCAAATTGAGAAGGCATCAGCCCCTCGCAGAAACACAAACAAAGTGCAGGAGAGCTGCAGATCCAGAGAAACCTCCCCAGCTCCCAGGGATTACACAGGGCTCTTGCAGCAATTGAGGGTTTTTAGCATCAGCCTCGCGGTCTCCAGGTCAGGCTGGGCCGTTCAGAGTTTTTTTATTTCTCTATTGCTGCTCCTGCTCCCTGGCTAAACACGGGACCGAGCTCCTGCACCTTCCTTCTTGATCTCACTGGAGAGGTTGATCAAAAGTCTTGTGGGTCAGAGCTATTTGCACTCGGAAGAACCAGCACTAGCACCAGCCTGGAGCACCGTAACGTGCGAACGATAAGCGGTGAGGTCTCACTCGACGGGGACACGGTGCTTCCGCTGATAAACTGCCAGGAACAGGGAGAGCGGCTCCATCCCGCAGGAAAGGGGCCTGAGAAGGGCTCGCAGGAAGTCTCTGCTGTTGGGTAGATAATGGTGAATTTCGGTCACTCTTGCCCAAGAAGAGCTGTGTTTTTCCAGAGATGTGCAGTCAACCCAGTAAACCCCCAAGAGGGCTGAGTGCTCGTGTGTTAGCCCGCCTGCCGCATCCCTGCTGGTGGCATGGAGAAGACTCACATAATGTAGTAGGAGGGACTGGTAGATGTTTCCTGAACCTTTAGGATCCTTTACTGCTTGGTCCTCCCTTCTGTAGCTCCTTGAGAGCCTAAGTCCCTTCCGTGCTCTGCCTTGCACAGCACCGCTGGGAAAGTCCCACATCCTCTCCCATCACCGGTGTCAGAGCTCCAGCATGACCACGTCCTGGTGGTCATCAGGTGGGTGGGCCCACTGGGGCAGGAGGTCACAGCTTGAGAGGTCGCTGGCTTTTAGGCTTTTGCTCTCCAGTCCCCAGCCTGGCTCTGCGAGGGAGTAAAGCCAGAAGCCGGAGTCCGGGCAGTAGGAACTGTAAATTTGGTTTGGCAACCTGAGGAGCAGCTCGTTTCTTTCTCCTCAGCTTATGAATGGCCTCTTCTGTGAACGTTGCAAATCTGAGCCTGGCTGCTGTTTGATGAGATTCTTCTATTCCAAGGAGAAAATGATCCTATTTCCTTTGCTTTCACCATATTCCCATATCCTTGTGCCGAGCGTGTCGAGAGGTGGAGTTCCGCTGGCAGGGACAGGGAAGATGCAATGTTAGATGTTTTGCTTTTGTGATTCTCTCAGGATTTATGAACCATTACAGAATGACTCATGCGGTCACATATTTTCCATGCCTCAGCCAGGATCCTTTCCATGCTCTGTATGCAAAAAATTAGACATAATCAGGTTCAGATAGTGTGCAAATCACAGCCCTGCTTCCTATGGCCAGGTCTCTGGAGCGGAGCAGGGAGAGGTTACTCATTGCTGTATCCTTCATTTTTCAGATGCTGTGTGATCTTTAGTGACTGCTTTAGATGCAGAACAGCTTGCTTGGAAATTCTAATGCCAGAGGTTTGTTACGGCTTGTTAACATCTCTTTAAGTCGTGTGATCCCTGCCCTGTGGGTAACCATTTGGTTTTTAAGTCATTCATTATGCAACAGATCATCTCCTGGGAGAAGGAGCTCTTTTATTCCATGGCTCTGAACCCAAAAGATGTAATGCTGGAAAACAGGCCGGGGATTTTACAGCTCAGAGGGAGGGTACAGACACCACCTGGCCTGTCCCATACATCTTTAAGGCTCGGGAGAGGAAACGCAAATAATGGGGCTTTGCTGTTTCTGCTCTGCTCCAGCAGCTCTAGAGAGTTCTGCAGCTGCAGGTCAGCAGGTGTGAAGGCAGAAATTGTGGTGCAACTAAAACCTGCCCCGGGTGGAGCTGGCATTTGCCATGTGGACACGAGTGGCAGCTGACCATGGAGGCAGCAGCTCTGCCTTAGCACCAGCAGCGTGAAGCATTTCCACCCGCATCAGCACAACCTCACATTTTCCATGAGTCCAGTGCTGGCCCTGCCTTTCCCAGCCACCAGCTGAGCCTCTGCACAACCACAGGGCCCGGGAAACTTCCACTGACTGTTGGAATAGAAAGGATGGTCCTTTGAACAAGGATCCCCCCGCTCCAGATTTGTCTTCGCAGGCTCTGGCATGTCCAAGACTTCGTGCCTTGGGCACCCTTCCTGACTTTGCCATCACACCGTTCCCCTTCCTCTCACTTCGTTAGGTCTCTTACCAACACCCTGAGACTCTCTGCAGCTCCAGGGCATCTCCCTGCCTCTCTTCTCTTCTGCCTGTCCCACAGTTCTCCTGTTCCACTGGGATCCCACCCAATCTTTTCCCTTGGTTATGCTACACCTTTGGTGCTCACGTTCTCCTCACCACTTGTAAGCCTGTTGCTGGTGTAATACTTTTGGGAAGACAGGTTTTTTCCAGAACTAATCTTCTGCTTGCTTGCAGTTTTCAATTCAGAGTGTAGGAAGTCCACAAGAACCCATTTTTCAGGGATATTTGAAGTTTAGCATCACTACAAGTCTCTGCATGTTCTGGAATAGCTTCTTTTGGTCCTTTCTCAGCAAGATGACACTGGTCAACATACAAACATCATCCCTTTTCAGCACTGGGTCTCAGATGATTCTTTTTGGATTCATCCTTTAGCACAGAGGTGGTTTGTAATTGCTAGACTTTAATATAGTCTTTAATTTTGATGAGTGGAAGGTAGAGTGTACCTCTAGTTTCATGAAGGTTGAGTTACTTAGTTCTAATCCCGAGGAATGGCCAAAGCATGAAGAAAAACTCCGGTTTATACGCGTACTTCCAGACTGCCTCTCACTGGTTCGCAGTCCCGTCTTCCTCTCTGTGATACGGAAACGTGTGAAAAAAAAAAAGTCCTGAAATACTAAATACTGGATTCAGGTACTCCCTTTAGCAATTCTTAATTTGATTTAGAAACCCCTGAATTCTTATTCCATCCTGCGAACCTGAAAGATATTTTTAAGCTGCCTTTCTTTGTCCCTGCCAAAGCTGTCCGCTTGCTGCGATCTCCAGCCGCTCTCGGGTGATGTCAGATCTGGCTGTCCCTCCCTCCAGCACAGGGAACGTCCTCTTTGTGGCAAGTCCAAGATCTCTGCGAGAAGACTTGAGTAAAGTGGACTGTGTCCTCTGAGACGCCACTACCATCATTTTAATCGAATTATTCCACGCAGTTGATGCATCAGAGGATTGTTATTGGGAGAACAACAGTTTGTTTCCCTGTGAGAAGTAACACGCTGCACAGAAAGCAGAGCTGCCTTTTGTTATGGCAACGGAAGCGTTGGGAATGATGTAAAGGAAACTCCTATCAGATCTGGGTCACATCACTACAGCTTAATTTGCAAAATCTACACATTCATGTGCCGTGCGGAGCTCACAGGGAACGCAGTTCAACATGTTATTACCCAGGAATTTGGGGAGGTTGAGGGAAAGGCGGGTGGAGGGTCATTTTCTCGGCTGCGTTTGTGTTGTCTTAACCTGTAGCAGATGTGCTTACAGATTGCGGAACTGGAATCGGTCACTTTTCCTCAACGTCTGTTGCGTTCAGCGTGCGAGTACTGGGGGGCCATATTTGTGCACCACACCTCTCATGACAAAGGTGCTGCTAGAAATAAACCCATCTGCAAAAAGATGTGCTTTGCTGGCACTACTCAGCGTTTTCGTTCCAAACTTATCCCTGCACGGAGCAACGGTGCCACCCCCTGGACTCCTGAAGCACCCACCTGAGTACAGAGCCCCTGCAGCCTGTCCTGCAACTGCTTGAAGGGAAGCTCATCCAACGTTTCAATTGCATTTTTCTACCAGTTTCAGGTGCAAGATAATCAATTCTGGGGATTGTCAGAAAGTTTAAAATAAGTTAAAATAAATTCAAAACAGTTGAGAGCTGCAGACTTTTAAAATCAATATTTTATTTTACTTGAATGTGCAAATAAATATAAAAAAACCTACATTCAAAGAGCTGGCAAAGCAATTACAAGCCCAAAAGCAAAGATCCTTCAAAAAAATGGAAGAACAAACTCTTGAATCAAGGTCACGCTAGCAGATACACAGCGGTCGAGCTGGAACTCTCAGACGTTAGGAAGCCACTCTCAAACCTGCACTGCCCGCTTATTCCATTCACATCATCTGCTGCTATCCTTTTTGAGACAATGGCACTGCAAAGGGCAAAAGTCTTACTTCATCTGTTCAGATTATAAATTAAGGTTTACAAAATAATGATGCTTAAAAACACCTGAAGTACACTTAAAAATCAGGAGATGGAACAGGATGGTGCAAAGGTGCGGTACCCTCCCACACCTCGGTACACTTGGGATCAAATGCATTTTAAGCCACGAGTTGCAACCTATTTTCTAGTAAACGTTTTTCTGTATCATAAAACCATAAAATTTGGCACAGTTGTCATCTCCACTGGAAAACAGCAGAGAGGTGAAGAGGACTGAGGTGCGTTGTGTTGAGCTGTCCTGAAGCAAAAAGGGGGACACTGTGCTTTGCACTGGGCTCGTCCCCCCACTCCTCCACCC